TGAAAATAAAGAGGAAGAAGAAGATGAAGAAGAAAAAAAATGTATCTATTCTATTTCTAACTCCTGTGAAGTGCACCCGGTAATGTTGTGAGTCTACAGGTAAAGGACCACCAAACTTTTTGGGTAAACTGAGCGAAATCCAGCAAAGTCAATGTTTGTTTAGGCATCTTGTTTTCCATGTTCTCATCTGAGTTTTTAAAATTTTCTAATAGCCATTCCATTCCAAATAAATGTATATATGAGATGTTCAGGTATACTAATTCATTTCTTCCCAAAGAAATATTGAAGATATGAAAAGATGCAAAACAGAGAAGAATAAAAGAAAAGAAAAGACTGAAACAAAATTTTCCAGTTAACCTCTGAGTCCAATAACATCTATTTGGCTCGGTGCATTAAATCTCTTTCCTGTTTTGTAAGTCTCTGTGAGGTAGATGCTACATTTACCCAAAGTGTCTTTCACAACCTCTAAATCGAATGTTGGAGTACTGGCTAAGAGGCTGATGGTCCAGGAAGACTTCTAAAAATCTTTGAGCATTCTTTCTTCTGGATGCAGGGCCATCAACACCCTCTGGACTCATCATGAACTGTAAGGTCATTTTTTGTGGAAATCCAGAGTAAAAAGGTTAAAATTGTACAAAACTGAAAAGTATCAATGAGGTAATCACTGAAAATATTGTGTACAACTTTGGCTATGAAGAAATATGAACATACTGGTGTGTTTGTGCCGCAATACATTATCTTTTGCATTAGCTATTACAAAACTTATATTGCAACTTCCTAAATCACTATGGAGAATGTTTGAACCTGAAGTAACACCCATCATATCATTAATAAGAGAATTCTAAGGGTAGTTCTTATAGAAATAACCAATATAAAAATGTAATGCTGAAGAAGTAGCAAATACAATAAATATATTTATTAAACTGTCATATCTATAACTCAACCATAAGACTTTTCTGAAGAGTGGCTTCTTGCTCATCCTTCCTTGAAATTCTATTCACAGAATAATAAATCTTCCCCTCAGCACAGCATGCAAAACCACATGCTTCAAGGTATAAGGCAGTAAAAGAAATCTCATGAAACGTGTCTAAATAGCAACAATGGCAAATCTATTTAAAAAGAAAAATACTTTATGTAAATCAATATGAGTGAAATGTAAAATATCAAAAATAGTGTATCAAATGGAATAAACAGGCAGTTAGATCCAATGCCAACTGTACACAGAAATAAATAATAGCACAATTTTTAAAAACACATTCATTCATTAATTACTTGTAGACCTATGGTCCTACAGAAATATTGCTCACCTTTCCCTCCAGAAATGTAAGCATTTTTTATCTGTTAAAAATTCTTCCAGTTATAACGATCAATATTCTTGGAAGAAATTTTTTGATAAACAATAACTACACTTAGCACACCAAATTAATCAATTAATCAGTCTATTATTCAATTTTCCTACTTCCATTTATGACAACAAAATACTTTGGATCTTTCTTAACCCTTTTCCATAAGCAATGCTGCTTCTACACCAGTTTGGTTCTGTACAAGGAAACAGCACACCACACTTAGTTATTTACCAAAGCTTTCCTATAAACCACGTCACATTCTAATAGGTGATGCATTATCATTCCAAGGTAATTTGCTGTTTAGGAATTTTTCACAATTTTGTATACTATGACGAACTGTGGTGTGCTAGTACTTGTTTTGCAGTCAAATTCGTGAGAAGTCTATGTTAAATGTCTTATAAATTTGTGGATATGACCCATTGTGGTATGCCAGTATTTGGTAGGTAGCAAGGTTGGGGAGAGGTCTCTGTGGCAAAGCCAGATATACAGTGCAACTTCCAATGAAAATTATCATATGTTGTATGAGGGTTAAAAAAAAGTTACTGAGGCAACAGCTGTATATGCCAAACCTTGCAGGTCTAATTAACATACACTTCATGATGAAGAAAATGAAAATGACAGTGGAAGTGGAGTCATCTACATGCATGTGTGTATACTTTCCTACACAGAAAATATTATACTGGGACTGCCTTTAGTATGGTTTGATGGAAAAAAAAAAAAAAGAAAAACGGTGAGTGTTTTCTTTATCAAAATACGTAAATACTGGAATAAAAATCACAAGAAACCAACATACATTTATTATCTTTAATCTATGTTTACATACTTTTTTGTTTTATTCTCACACAATTTCACATTTTATGGCCATAACAGAAAACAATAGCATTTTAGTAACAATAAAACAAAGCAAAATACAACTTAGAACAAAAAAACAAATTTTCATACAATATGCCTTCTTAGTTCCAAGATCCAAGCTAAGCAATTTTGTTTTGTTGTATGAAAATAAATTAAAAAAAAAAGGGGGAAAATTACATGATGAATACTTCATGTAATGGTACTTAGCTTTATGATCTAATATTATTTGCATGCTAGAACTTAAAAGGGAAAAAAAAAAAACTGTCAATTTTTTTTCCCCCGCCCCAATAAAAAACAAACTTGAGGGCATAAATGTAAAACATACTTGCCTGCCTTAGTCAGTCTCAAATGACTTCACAAATATTCTCAGAACAACACTGATAAAATATCTTCTTGCAATCATATATTACTCAAAGTAGTCTTATTTACATTAAATCTCATTTCAAAAAGATTTTAAGAACCCTGCCAAATAGTGTTTCTAAATACCCCACTCTCCAAATGTAGAACAGCACATATGAAAATAAGTTGTATCTATGGAGTACAAAAAAGGCACAACAAACAATATGGAGATCACATTCAAAGCATAAATATCAACAGCATTCCATCCTTTCTGCACTTCGTATCTTCCTTCGGAAGTCTTATCATAAGCCACTCTTATTACACACAGTCTGCTTCAAGCTCTTACTTTTTTGCACAAGTGTCTTGCAAAATTTGTTTAATTCTTATTATGCATTTTTCTTACTTTGATTTTTGGTCTCATTTCAAACATTTCTAATATAACAATTCATTGATAACCATACTAAGGGTAACATTGTTTTGCATGTATGAATTAGGTCTTTGAATTTTGTGTTACAGGTATCATACTAGTATCTAGCATCTATACCATACTAATACATTATACTAATATATAGTATACTAATATGCTATACTATATAGCAGTGTTGTCCAAACTGAGGTCTGCAACATAGATTATAAGGGTATGTGAACAACGAAAACACACACACACACGCACGCCCTCACACATACACACACACATACACACACACACGTTCTATAAATCATCTTTTTCATTTGTGTATTCAATTTGGATTTATTGACCAACATTCCTGCAATGCAGTCTTTTAATAATTGGGGAGGGGGGGGGTTGTGACAGTACAAGAAGGTAATAAAGGGTACATTAGGCAAAAATATTTGGACAACACTGCTATATAGTATACTAGTATACTAAACTAGTATATAGTATACTTGTATACTAAACTAATATATAGTTTACAAACTAGTATTTCTAGTATCATAGTCCTTGCAGTACAACACTTCTAATTATGAGACTGCAGTGATGGTGCAAATTTATGTATAGTAATGGAAATACGTTTCCTAATACATAACCAACACAAATAAATGAAGGATTGCTTGATAAGCTTGAAGAGAAGTACAGCAATGACATTTCTGTTTCTATCTTAAAGCAATTCTGCACTCATGAAATAATTTTCTATATAAAACATGTTCCCTGTGTTATCAAATACATTGCATGAAACCATGAAACCTGCTCAAATCAGGTACGAATAATACCATTCTGGAAAATAAAACTATGACTAAATGATGTTGACTGGTATTCTTTTCAAAATAAGTGAGTCAAAAGAAAAAGAAAATTTACTTTATTATATCAATAGAATCTATTTTCACATGGTGTTAGAAGCAGACTGGAAATACAAGGCACTGAAGGGAACAATCTATGATTTATTAGCCAATTAAAATCTAAAATACTAGGTATTCAAAAAGACAGATATGTTTCACAAAATCTGCAAGGGCTTATAATATCTATCATTTAGGCTAAAGGAATATTTTCTCAGCTCTACAGTTTCTCACTTTTTAAACTTACATAAAAATAATAATTTAAGGCCTTATCACTTGAGAATAAAAGATATATGGTTTCTGGGCTTCCTGATCTTAGTATCCAGAAGATTTCATTTGGGAATTCTTAGTTCCACAACAGTTTAAACTTTTTGTAAAAGCATCATTGTGCATCCACCATTGTGGACATCATTAGCGTTTGATACTACTATTTCGAAGCCGAGCCCAAAAGTACAATACCCAAGACCAGGATTTTAAGCAAATGATACTCCTTCTAAGGTATGCACTATACAGCAACCCAAATCAATAAGAAAAGCCTTTTTATCATTACCTAGGATGCAGAAATAAAACAACACCAATATCTGCAAAATATTGTGGAAAAAGTAGTGTATGCCTACCATTCTAATTCCCTGATTTTTTTCTTCAAATATATAGATGTTGAGTACATCTAGTATGAAATTCAAAAACTTTACCAAATGGAGGTACTCACTAAGCTACTACAGTACAATCTCAGGATAGATAAAAATTGCAACTCACTAAAAGCACTGGAGTACTGTAAATCACCAACTCATTCTTTCATTCTAATTGTCTGACACAAACTGTTGGATCTAGGTGATGTAAACATCACATCATGAAAAAAATTGACAGTGGGTCACGGACATGGGAATATGCAGTCAATGAAAAATTTTATTTGGAGTTTGTGTAGGTAAAAACACTTCATTACCAAACTGATACAGCATATCAAATGGAAAACAGCAGAAAATAAAAAAAATGCAGATGCAGAAAGATAACATTACAAATGGAAGGCAAGGACTCTTGACACCATACACGAGTAATTGTGTGAGCCTATAATCCATACATGTTAAAGTCACCATTCAAGTAATGGCCAGATTTTGTATACTTAATTTGCTACCTTCAACTCCATTCCATTATTTTTCTCAAATGCGACTTAGTGAATTTGAGTACTCCAGAGTCAGGAGTGAGCTGTCAGTTTTTTCCTTCATGAGACTGAATGCAGTATAGCATTTTATGCTAAACCCTGACAGAACAGAGGGGCTTTTCTGAATATTTTCATATTCTTACACCAAAACCAATCATGCAAGACCAGTTTCTAAGCTGATAACATTTAAATAATACATGCTTATGCACAAGGTAAATCAAAATAATGTACATGAATAACAGAAAAAGTGGGGAAAAAAGCTGATAAGGCCTACTTGTCAATTGTGCAGACTGGATTATCAAGGATGAGCTCCATTTTCACTCGGGAACCAACCAACTCGCGGATATTGTTGATTCCATACATAATCATTGCTGGTCTGTAAATAGAAAAAAAAAACAAGCTATACCGGGGAAACAACCTTCAAAATACCTAAATGAAGAAAGAAACAAGAAAAAAAAAAAAAAAAAGTTTAGAAAAGAAAAGGAAAAAGTTTTAACCATATAATAAACATGGTTAATATCTAAGAGAATGTTTGTTATCAAGTGAAATTAAAACAATAATTTAGTGCTTTCAGAGAAAAGTAATTGACTTGCCTTTCTAGAGATAGTCCCCAAGCAGCAACAGAAACATTCTCTGGAACTCCCATTGGTCGAAGCATCTCTGGTCGGAACATGCCTGAGTTACCTATTTCCACCCACTTCTTTAGGCCTTCATGGTAACTAAAGAGAAAAAAGATAAAAACATGACTATTTGAGAAGAGAGGTAGAAATGATCAAAATACATTGAGATATACAGTTGGCCCTCAACATTTGTGACAAAACAATTGTGAATCCAATCATTTGTAAGACATGCTTGAAGACAGCTGAAATTAATATGGCACTTGCTAAGTTGTACTATGAATATAGATGTTTCTAATGTCAGTTAACATCCTATTTGTGCATCACTGATTTTCACTTTTAAATACTTTCATGCATATACTGTAAGTTCCATTATACTTGGTTTCAGTAACCCCTATGATGATGGCTTTTACCCACTCTAAACTGAACCATGCACAGTGTTACTATGTAAAATTAGGAGCTAGGGAAACAAACATTTTTCCCAAATTTCTATGATTTTAGCAGCAGTACACTTAATATTTCAGTAAGAGACTAAAAAGCCTTTATGCCTACTTTGACAGGCAAGGCTACGTCAAGGCAAGAATAATTGCCACCTAGTGTCAATGCATTAACCTGAAAATTGTTATGATGTAATTGTCTATTTTTTACCTTTTTTGTAAAAAGGAAGTTTTTATGATTTAACCACATAAAATAGTCTTAGGAATGATGTAACTATTCAACCATTCTCAGAGGCTAACCTTACAGTGCTATCATCCACTCCATTCAATTTGGATATTCAAATATTTACAAGAAATTTAAGGATGTAATCCTCAAGAATGATAATGGCAACTGTATACAAATACATACCAAGCACATTATAAAAGGAAATTAATAATAAAGGTTACTGTAACTGGAAACGAATAATGAACAGATTTCTGAAATACTTTCCTTATCAGCACCCATTATTGGGTGCTGATAAGGTTTCAATATAAAATGGAATATGGTCCCCTCTGTATGAATTTTAAAAACAAGAAAAATTCCCAGCAGGTGCACCATCTTACCTGAAGATCTCCATAGATGGCTCTGTATATGGGTTATAGGCAGGCTTGAAACGCAACTTTGTGATTCCAATCTTCTCAAAGAATCCCTAAAATACAAATATAGAGCAATAGACAATCATTCTCATTTTTTACAACCGCACAATATTGCCAATAAATCCATACAAAGTACTATTCTTTACTTATTACATAATAATGATTACTAAATTTTTGCTTTATTAGTATGAAGAGCATTAATTACATACAAAAGATTATATCACAACCAAAATTATACAACACGTCAGTGGAAGGAGAGCGAAGAGAGGGAGAAAGAGTGTAAATGAGAAAGAAGGAAAGAGAGAGAGAGAAGGGGGGGGGGGGCCAAGTTGGTGGGGATGGAGGGGTAAGGAAAGAGGGAGAGAAAGAAAGGGAAATGAGCCAGTCAGGTTGTGTCAAATTTACCTTGATAATTCCCATGAGATGCTTGACACTAAGATTATAATCAGCAACAACTCCCTCAATCTGTTGGAATTCAGCAAGATGTGTTGCATCTAAGGTCTCATTTCGGAAGACTCGATCAATGGAGAAATACTTGACAGGCCGGAACCCTTCCTGTAATTTGCAAGTCTAATTAATATATATTCTGAGATAGACAAGCAAGAATTATTTTGTATTAATACTATATATCTTTATAGACAGTCTCTATCGGTACAATAATTTATCTAGTAAAAGAAATATATCTACAAGAAAAAGATCATAATGAACATTCATCTTTCTGCTACATACCTGAGCTAGCTTATACAGCATGCGAGCACTGACAGCAGTTGTATGAGTACGAAGCAGATTCTTGTGAGCCTCATCTCTACTCCACTCATACTGATAGCCAAGTGAACCATAACCACCTGTACTATGAGTCTTCTTAACCTGCAAATATTAAAGGTTAGTAAGATATGATTTTCTTCAATATTGATGGTTAGCACTGCTGCATAAAATCTATCTCGATACTGCTGGGAACGGCATGTATGTACTTACCATGCCCAACATGAGTTTGAGTAATTAACTGTTTTTTTCATATAGATGGCTGCACAAGTACAAAGTTACCAATGAGGCAACTCTAAAAACTAACTGCCTCACCTGTTTACCCTTTCTTTGATTTTCAAAAATAATTTCTGGTATTTTATATTGTTGTTTGTGATGGCAATAACACTATAATTGGAATGCCTACAATCAAAATGACAGCACTGATATTGATAGCATTATTAAAATAAGCACTTGCAAAGCATTTCACAAAATAAAACTACAGTGGATACATTTCCCCAATGACGGTGGGTTATAAAATATGTACCACTGCTCTATTAACCCCTTCAATCCAGATGACATGACCATCATCATCATTAAAAAATTGAGTGTTGAGACGTGAACATGCTGTCGTGAGAGATGGCCAGGGTGATGGAAAAGATTTGCCACACATGCGCAATCCTCTTGGAAGGTGATTAGAGTCCTTTGGCATTTAGAGGGGGCTTTTGCATCATTCCCATGGAATGTAAAGTTCAGGAGCCATGACTGAAAGAGCGCTGGCTCTAGGTCCAACACCATTTCCATGTTCGGCATTGTATTCCTGGCCACCATGATCAGCAACACAGGTTGTATTACACTGAATATTACAAAAAAGAAGATGAAGACAAATAACAAGATGTCAAATATTTCTTCTTTTTTTCATGCACTGGGATATTTACTACATAAAGAGAGATGGAGTCTGTGCCATGATATCTCTGTATTACCATCTCAATAAAGGAAATCAAAAGACATATACATTGGAAAAAGGCAAAACTAAAAAGTCTATAAAAAATAACTCTGCAAAGGGGAGGTACAGCTTCTTGTCATCACACATTTGTGCGCCCAGCCTATGCGTCGCACACCTGGCAGAGGAGCCAGTGATTGCCATGATGCAACCAGAACTGACGGGTTAGGAATAAACCCCCTATACCCACTCACGCCGGGTACATTTGGTAGCCAAAATAAAAAAATTCCGGGCGGCTACAAAATCGGCGGGCGGAGTTTCCTCCGAGTTTATCCGCCCACCGGCCGCATACCGCTGCTGCATCGGAGCACAGCCTAGATACAGCGTCACACTGGCGGGATGCCCAGCAATGTTTATTTTTTCGGGTGTCTCATATATGTGACACCCGGCACGATTGGGTTAAGGGAAAGAGTTGTCGTTACGGTCCCGAAATTCGTTATCCGGTCCTCCTCACTTTTAGTTTTTTAGCTAGGTCAATAAAATTTTTACAAAATGTGCATGGATATGTGATGCTTAACTAATAGAAATTTGATTTTAAAAAACTGCATAATTTTTTGTGCTAGAAAAAAAGAGCGAGATGACAGAATTCGAAATTATGTAATGGCTTCCTTATAGTGAATAGTACTGCAGTTTCCTTCTGACCAGAGTTAGTCAATAAATGGGAGTACCAACTGGAGCATTTATGTATATCTATCTGAAGCGACAATGTTTCAGTTACCTTGCAAAAAAGTTTTTTTTTTTTTTGTCAGAAAATTGCCATTGATAGAAATAATGTATGACTTAGCTACTGTTAGTAGATACAAACTGGACGATCATTTTACAATAAGAATGATCAAAATTGTGTAATTACACACAAAGTTATACTTTCTTTGATGCATGAAAATGTGATTTTGAGAAAATAGCAGTTTTTGTCATTCATCTTCATTACACCATAAAGGTCATACCAATGATTACCAAATGTGAATATCTACTTAGACAATCCCTTGGCCTTTAATAGGAGTCCTGTGGTAGAGGGTCAGGCCTTGTTCAGGTAATTTTAGGTCATCTTTATGTCAATGTTAGGTTAGGTTAGGTGGGAGTGTTCTCTGAAAAGTATACTTTCAGATGTCAAGGTTGCTGGCTCCGTCATTTAGCACTGTTCTCCCGTTCTTGCTGCTGCTGCCTGCCTGCTGAACACAACCTAAACTATCGTACAGCAGAGTTATACCAAATTAATTCACAAAAACAGCTGTAAAAACGCTGAAAATACAAGAAAAACAAAGCATGAAGCAAAAAGGAGTGTGGCAGCGCAATGCCATTTAAATACCCCTGACCTTCAAATCAAGGAAAGGAGCGCGTTATGCATCCTAAAATATTATAGATAATCATAAAAATGAAACACTGAAATACTTTCATCCTTACCCTTTGCAAGTAGTCTTCAGGAACACTTAGGGTCTTTTCAGGTTCAGCCACATAAAATGTGTCATGAGCATCCCTTGCAGGGTGTTGCTGGGGCTGGAAGAGGGCATCGAAATTCCAAAAGGCGCTCTCAACAAAATTGTTTGTGGGCATCTCGGTGAAACCCATTTCTAAGAAAATTTGTCGGAATTCGGATCTTAGTTGCATCAGGGGATGTAAGTGTCCAGAGCGCTGTTCAAGACGGCCCTGGGGAATTCAAAACACAAATTACTCTATTTTTTTGTCTTTTGAGAAAACCTTTTACTACATATTAAACACACACATACACACAAAAGGGATATGTCTTCCTTACTACAAAAAAAAAAAAATAATTACCTTTGCTTTGAAGTTGAAAGGCTTGAATGATTTGCTCTTCCATTGTCCACTCTCTATCATATCCTTAGTGAGTTCAGCTTCCTGCTTAGACACAGAAGTGGTGAAGTCACTACCCTTGGTGACCTCAAATACTGTAAGATCACTGTGGGAAAAGCAAAGAGCATTAAAAACCATAACCAAAACTATTTTATATATTTACCAGTATCATTAAAGAAGGAACAAGAAAGAATTTCTCTTACACTTCTTTAATAAGTTTTCTCTTTTTGTAGTCAACCTTTATTTTATCTGGAACATTATCAGCCGATCCAGACATAATAGCCTGGAGATGTATTTGAACTTCATCGTTTATACTGGAAACCACAGGTACTATCTTTTCTCCTTCTTTCTTCACCCACTGTATAAATGAAAAGGTGAAATGTGAGACCATGACAGCAGGAACATGCCCTGTTGGTAATTAAAACAAGCAAATACTTTAACAACAAATGTGTCTGCTGTCTTAAGCATTCACATTGTAAAACAGATAAACTACATTATTTGACAAAAGAGAACTGAATTATACATGTTGAGTGTATATCCTTGTCTTACCTTATTTTTCATTGCTGCCCCTAATGCAATATTTGCATTTGGAAAATTTACTTTGATATCTGCAATAGGACATCCTTCCGATGTTAGAGAATTAAACAGTCTTGCTTCATGAGAACCATTAGTTGCCAGAGAAGATCCCTCTTCTGTACATTCCCAAGTCTTTTGAGTAGTCTGCTTCACAGCTACAACCTGTAATAGTTGAACTTCAATTAGAAATCCATATTAGTAAACAATTAAGCAGGAAAGGGGAAACAAGGCACTCATTAGTCTCTTGCAAATGATAGGATTCCTAACACATTTCAAGCAAACAGCACCATTAGGTTCTGTCAATCACAAATTTTTAGGACTTGGGAAAAAAAAAAAGTAAATCAAGGCCTTTGAAATATCAGGGATTAATACTAAGACTTGAGTGGTTATTTTGACCACAATTTCATTTTCAGATCCATGTATCTTTCATATTTTTCCCCATTTTTTTTTTTTTTTTTTTTACTTTACCTAAATCATAATGAAATATACTGAGGAAAAGAAAAATATCAAAATAGGTTATTACCTGCAATGACTGAAGTCAATCTGACTACTAGCCTATGAATAATAATAATAATATACCTAATAGTGAGTGAGTTTGTTGCTGCTGATGTAAAACATAAGTGTACATGTCAAAAACCTCCCTTTCGGACTAAAACTTTGACAGCAAATGTATAAGTACTGTTTTCAAGAAACTTTATCTTAACACACTCATGCCAGATAAGGTCTAATCATATTTTAGTATCAAGTATCCATGCAATACTTGGTTGCGCCTCCTCTGAGTATCTATTTATCTATTCATTTACTTTATTTCATTATTTTTTTTACAGACTTTCTGAAATGCAGAAAGGGTAAAAAATTCAGGGTAAAAGTTTTCAGGACCTTTTTTTGTGTTTTTAATACTGTTCATACAGGCAGTGTCAAGAATAAATGCAGCTTGGGATCCAAAGGCCTTTCATATTGTTTACTGTTTGGAGTATCATACAGTTTGATTATAAGAAGCAGTTCCAAGCTGGTTCTTGTATGGTGAAGATATGTCAGTATCAGTATGAGATATACATTTGTATTGTGTGACATATACTAACAATACAGTTGAATACAGATCTATCCTGTCAATATATTTATTTGGTAGGTCAGAAATAAATTATAGCCAGTTCCAGAATCTTATGCATATGTAGAATCACCCATGGAAATATAAAGCCCTACAAAGAAAAACTAGGCAGTATAACAAAAGCCTAACACTGAGCCGTGCTACCATTGAATCAGTCTTTTTTACACATCTGTATATATATCTATGAAAAATATATGAAAATTAAAATCTATCAACATCCTTTTCTCCATTTTCTTCACCCTAAAATATGCAATGCTGCAGGACAAGTGCAGTACATAAGAGGTTTATGCAGAAAAAAAGTGGGACCACCCCCACATAATTAGTACCATAAAATGCAGTATCCTGAAATATATAAAGTATCCAAGTTTGGAGAAAAACTAGTGAAGACTGTAATTTCTTATATCAATATCTATACCAACTCCTGCCCCCTAGCCCCCTGGGGTTAATGGGAGGCTCGGGGGAGGTGGGCCTTGCCAGTCCTCCTCCCCCCAGATATAAACCAATCGGCAGTGAACCTTATAAATGGAAAGGCTGGGAGGAGGGGAAAAGCCCCTCCCACCCAGCAAGTGAGGCGGACTGTGGGCCCTGCTGGGAGGGCGACTGCTGGAGCGCAGGCTGGGAACGGGGACTACCCGTCTCGCCTGCGCTCTGGTGGCCGCCAGCCCAGAGCGAAGCTTGTGGGGGAAAGCCCTCGGGAACCCCACAGGTGGATGATGGGGCACGCAGCCCGCCACCCCCTTTTATATGGGGCAGCGTCGGTTGGGGTGGCAGAGGTGGCATCCACCCGGAGCGACTGCCAGAGGCTGAACCTCAGGCGGGAAGTTAGGGTGGGGGCTTGGAACGTCCGTTCTTTGCGTCAGGATGATCGGTTGCCTCTACTGTCGAGGGAACTGGGGAGGCTGAGAGTTGAGGTGGCTGCTCTCTCGGAGGTGAGGAGGCCTGGCAGCGGCATGACCTGTGTAGGTGGCTACACCTATTACTGGTCGGGCCGCAGCGATGGCCACCATCTCCAGGGAGTAGCCATTGCCGTCTCCAGCAGACTCCAGCCCTCGGTAGTAGAGGTTACTCCTGTTGATGAGCGTATAATGGTATTGAGATTGAAGCTTTCTTTTGGCTTCATGTCTCTTATTGCTGTGTACGCTCCTACCGATGTTTGTAAACTTGACGTGAAAGAGATGTTCTACGCCAAACTTACATCTGTGGCAGACAGATGTCCTCGACGAGATATTCGCATTGTTCTGGGCGACTTCAATGCAGTATCTGGCTGTGATCGAGCTGGCTATGAGATGTCTGTCGGTCCCCATGGTTCAGGAGCTGATGCCGGTAGCGAGAATAGCCTCCTTTTCCGGGACTTTGCTAGGTCCCAGAAATTGAGAATTTCTGGCTCCTGGTACCAGCGCCCAGACCCACATCGCTGGACATGGTACAGTGATGCGGGTAACGCAGCCAAGGAGATCGACCACATACTTGTTAGCACTCGTTGGAGGATCCTTCAGAATTGCAGGGTGTACAGGAGTGCTGAGTTCTGTGGTACTGACCATAGATTGGTTGTGGCTACCCTCCGGGTCCACTTCAAAACCCCCCAGCGGTCAAATGATCACCCTAGGGTGTTTCATTTGGACAGGCTGAGGGAGGGGGAGTGTGCCCGTGGGTTTGCTGAGGCAATCTCTGATCGTTTCGCAGTGCTCGTCTGACAGGGGATTGGGAATTGCACCGTTCTCATGTGCGCAGAACTCGGTCCCTGTTAAGAAGGGACAAGGAACAGTTTATTAGGAGTCTTGCAGAGGAGGTAGAAGGCCATTTCTTAGTAAATGACCTTCGTCCTGCATACCAAGCCCTGAGAAAGCTGAGAAAGCTGAACTCCAAGCCCTCTTCACAGGTGACAGCAGTTCGCTCAGTAAGTGGTCAGATCGTTTCAGATCCTGTTGCGGTGGGGACGTTGGGCTGAGTATTTTGAGCAGCTGTACCAGGTTGACCCACCAACAGTTAACTTGGATGCGGGTAGTGTCGAGATCCCGCTGCCGGATCCACCTATCAGTGAGGACCCTCCCTCCCTAACTGAAGTTAGGGGGGCGATTTCCAAGCTGAAGAGTGGTAAAGCAGCTGGTATCTGCGGCATACCAGCTGAACTGTTAAAGGCTGGTGGTGAACCTATGGCACGGGGGTTACATGCTGTCCTGGCTGCCATCTGGCAGTCCGGTTCCGTTCCTCCTGACCTGTTGAGGGGTGTGGTCATCCCTCTCTGGAAGGGGAAGGGGGACCGTTGGGACTGCAGCAATCACCGAGGCATCACACTGCTCAGTGTACCAGGCAAGGTTCTCGCCCACATCCTTCTGAGACGTATCAGAGACCATCTACTGAGGCACCAGAGACTGGAGCAATCCGGATTCACTCCTGGTAAGTCCACAATAGACCGTATCCTCGCGCTTCGAGTCATTGTAGAGCGCCGTCGTGAGTTCGGGCGTGGGCTGCTTGCAGCCTACATCGACCTCAAGAAGGCGTTCGATACGGTGCATCGGGAGTCACTTTGGGAGATCCTGAGGCTGAGAGGAATACCAACAAGGATTATTGGACTAATAGCAAGCCTGTATACTGGTACTGAAAGTGCTGTAAAGTGTGGTGGGGGCCTGTCGAGCTTCTTTCCTGTTAGTTCAGGAGTGAGGCAAGGCTGTGTCCTTGCACCAACTCTTTTCAACACTTGCATGGACTGGATACTGGGCAGAGCTACTGTTCAAAGTCATTGTGGGGCAACGCTGGGCAATATCAAGGTTACAGACCTTGACTTTGCTGATGACGTTGCCATTCTATCTGAGTCTTTGGAAACCCTAGTGGCGGCTCTCGATGCATTTAGCAATGAAGCGAAGCCCCTGGGTCTAGAGGTCTCCTGGACCAAGACCAAGGTCCAGGAATTTGGGGACTTGATAGGAGAACCTGTTCAGTCGGTACGTGCTTGCGGCGAGGACATTGAAGTCACAGAGAGCTTTACATACCTTGGTAGTGTAGTTCATAACTCTGGGCTGTCAGACCATGAAGTCAGCAGACGGATTGGCCTGGCAGCAGGGGTCATGAACTCTCTCAACAAGAGTATTTGGAGATGTCGGTACCTGTGCAGAAGGACCAAGCTTCGGGTTTTCAAGGCCCTGATAATGCCAGTTTTGCTATACGGTAGCGAAACCTGGACATTGTCCTGTGCCTTGGAGGCTCGTCTTGAAGCCTTTTGCAATAGGTCCTTGCGCCAGATCATGGGGTACTGTTGGCGGGACCATGTGTCCAACCAACGGTTGCACCGTGAGACTGGCACAAGCCCTGTTATCTGCACAATCCGTGATCGCCAACTCAGGCTATACGGCCACCTGGCTCGCTTTCCTCAGGATGATCCTGCCCATCAGGTCGTCTCTATTCGAGACAACCCTGGGTGGAGGAGGCCTGTGGGACGACCGAGGAAGTCATGGCTTGGGCAGATCGACCAAACCTGCCGTGAAGAACTAGAGATGGGCCGAGTCCCTGCCTGGCGTCTAGCCATGAGGGATCCTCGTAGGTGGAAGCGAAGGGTGGATGCGGCTATGCGCCCCCGTCGGCGTCAGCCCCCATGATGATGATGATATCTATTGACTTCCCACCCTTACCCTTCCACTTTTTGGGATGGTCCCTTTTATGCCATACAGCCATGAAGCATTGATGCATCTGCAATCATTGTGCACATGGGAGGACTACAGTTTGAGGGCAAGCAAACTATCACAACAAATAAATTATTACTTAATTAATGACTAGTCTCCCTCAACCCAAAACCCAGATTTACCAGGTGTCCTAATTCCAGGATGGATATTTACCAAGTCAACTGGCAGGTATCCGAAAAAAAAAAAAAAATGGTTTTCGCCACTTACATATCAACCAAAGACTATCTACGAAAGACCGGAAAGTCGAGCAAAATCCTGTGAGTAATGCGGCGTCGGCGCAATAGATGGTGTTAGTGAGCATCTCGTGACATCATCTCATACCCGTTTGTTTGTTTACATAGAAGCGCGAAAATTGTTCTGACAGTTCCAACATTGCCAGGAAAAGTCTTATCCTTGGTCTGCTTGTAAAAAGCAAAAATAAGAGAATAAATAACTTATATTTCTTTTTTTCTTTTTTTCAAGGAAACAGAAAGGTTTGTAATACCTATGCTTTTTTAGGTTTGTAATACCTATGCTTTTTTAGATATAACCTAAGATGTGATGTTCAGATTGACATAAGCAAGATATAAATTGGATCACAAGAAATTATTTTGATTGGTAAAGGTGTCAAGTCATGACGCCCGTCTAAAAAAGTAGAGGCCAAAAATCTACTTAATATAGTGCAAGCTTTAAGCTACAATTTGACGTAAGCTGACGATAGATTTGACATCAATAGAGTGAAAAAAAAAACTTTGTCAGGTTGATTTTGAGTTAGAATAGTTATCACCAAAATCAGCATATATATTGATTGAACAATGATCATTACTTGGTAGATCTGTATAGTAGGAACAAACAGAAATATAAAAAAGTAAAATAAGTTCAAATGTTAACAGGACAACGACGGGTGGCCTGTTTCGAGCTCCTAGCCAGAGTATACAAGGTGTAGCAGATGCATTCCAGGCAGCTCCTAGGAAAGGGGGTTAGGGGACAGTCCCCTAATCAAACATAAAATGAGGAAATTAATCTCAAAATCATGTGGTCGCAATGCGAAGAATTGAAATAAAAATGTGTATTTCGGCCATTTATTTGTAAAGGTTTTGTTATTATTCTAATAAAGATATTGTAATAATTTTCTTTAATTTATCATACTCAATTTCTATGTATTGATGCATGTTTGGCAATATAATCATATACATTATATGTCACTAATGTTATGTGACTGTAGGCCTATAAGTTCATTGTGCCACGTGGTTTAATGTGTCCTGTATATGGCATGTTGTATACGCCGTATGTATGCCGTGCATGTATAAACTACCAATTTATAGTTGTTAACCAGCCCTAAATTGCCGAATGGGTAGTTTCGGGCTGGGAGGGGCAAAAGAATTATATGAAGAAAATAAATGCTACTACAAAGTCATGATATGATATGAATTATATATATATAAATTTATTAGTAAATAAGCTATTCGCAACCCCCTCTGAATAAGTCTGAACTGACCAAGAACATGAACCCGAGTGAGCACACCCCCACTGAACGACGTCGGATGTTTAGTTGGGCGTCGAGTCAACAGATGGCACTGGTAGACGACCGGGGAGCTCACATTTTTTAGAATGCATTACACAGCATGTTTCCTGTCTTTTGTAGAGAGTCTTTGATATCAATGTGCACACTCCCAGGCTCTGCTGGGCGTGGTGGCCTGTAAAAAATGTGGTGGCAATCTAACAATCACCCGCCATGGTACTGGTTTTACCCAGTATGATTGGTGGCATTGCCAGATATGTGGCGACCTGATGGCCACCAAACACCAGAGGACAGGCGGATGCTACGCCCCTAACTTAGCAGCTGTATATGCATCCCTGCTAAATGATGACGGTTACAGCGGCTTTATCCGTTATTGTGGTGCCCTCCATTTGCCATCCCTTTCCAA